AAGTGCCGTGTACACAGCATCTATTATAATACAGGACATTTTCAGGAGACTAATAATGCAGCAGTATGGGGGGGGGGAAAGAGGGATAAAATACGGAAGTTTCCCAGGAGACTACGGTTTTCAACGCTGCGTATCCAACAGGACTGCTCTGATAGTCTGGATCGAAAATGCTGGCTTTTTCTAACAATAAAAAAAAGGTATTGTAAATGGTTTATGTATAGCCTGATTATAGAAAGTAATTACTACTATTCTTGTTATAAGGTTCTCTTAATGAATTGCTCATCATAGTAGTCCTGGCACATGTGCCTATTGTCTTTTGAAACCTGTGTTAAATGTTGGACAATTATCTTTGATATATGGAATAAATCACAATGAGTTGATTTGAACAAAGGAGATTTTTAACTGCTGTCAACAACAAAATTAGTACATGCGTTACCTCATGTCAAACAGAGATGCCTCTTTTGCTGATTGTAATTGCAAGTGTTATAAAGTCCCACAGGCATAAATTATAGATCCTCTAAAGACATTTCAAAACAATCAGGTTCTTAAAACTCTGAGAGAGGGTAAATTAAAGTGGGTAAGACCAAATCAGGTAAATTGCTGCCTTTTCTTAATTATATTGTTTCAATATAACTTATTTTCTCTACGGGGAGATTTGTCTTAGATGCCAGAGCTGTGTTCATACTCCCAGTGTGGGCAAGACTACTGAACAAAAGGAGGAAAGAAGGAAACACAGGAAACACGGTCTCCAGTCGGGTTCATATGCAGTGTGTTTTTAATGTACTATATCTCTGGGAACAGTTTCCCCTCACTCCCTAATGATCCAAACACTTTTTTTTCTCCTGGTTTGTGCTTCTCAGGTAACACCAAGCTTCATTGTAAGAGAGAAAGACTGCCGGGGTGATAACAAGCTAAAAATGTCTGTTTTCTTATCAGCATCTTTTTCACTGCTTTAAAAATGTGCTATTAGCCTTTAGAATCTTTTGTTTTTCAATCAAATTCAACGCATAAAATGTCATCATGCTTTGAATCCATTCATTCCATAGAAGCCTAGGGCAAAATTAAAGGTACAGAGGACTATCTTTTATTTCCGGGTGGATCATCTAGATAATTGGTCCTCCTAATTGTCAATCATTCTGGTTATATGTTTACGTAAGGCCGTCCTACATGCTCGCCCGCCCGTTAGCTATCTTTTTCTGCGAATGCGCACTTTCAGGCGTATATCTGTGGTGAGCTACGATTTAAGCCCGCCATTGAAACTCATTTTTCTCACCGCAGTTCTTTGAAAATGGCCGAGGGTCGTAAGATAAAAAATGTGTACGAAGGATTTGCTGTTACAGCGGCCAGCTGTCGCCATAGGCTTTCGCTACCCAACAGTGGTGAATAATGACAAAGATGCCGCAGGCACCGTGCAGTGGAGGAGGAGTTACGTGACCAACGGAGTAAAAAGCAGTGATCATCTGTCCAAACAGTCAGTTAACTGAGTTTGCTATAAAGTTCACTATAAAGTCCTCGCTCTATATAGTGATTAAGGGATTTATGGGTTAGGGTGGACATTTGGACACAGTAAGCTTGTATGAGAACAGCAACTTTTAAACAGAGTGTGTGCGAGGATTAAATGGGCTTGTGTATTAATAGGCGTAAATTCTCAGGAGAGGGTACAGGGTCGTGCATGTGCTTTTTTTTTTTAAGTGAAGAGGGAGTGGCTTTTAAGAAATTTACAATAGTCCTTCACAATACCTTCAACAAAGCAAAAAAATGTCCCCTGCAATGTTAGGGACACAAGTATTGATTTGAAGAGACTGAAAACAAATGTTTGCCTCATCATTATCTGTTTTTTTTTTTTATTTAAAGAGAAATGACTTCTACTTGTTGTCTCCAGCTTCACCTGGAACCAGGTTGGGGGGCAGCAGTCTCAGTAGAAACTCCCAGAATTCCTTCTCCAGAGATACCTCCTCTATCTTCGCTGTGGGAAGCCCAAGGCACTCCCACACTGGAAAAAATCAAAATGTATATAAGTTATTTCTTCTTAAAATAAGTGCATTTGTTTTTGAATTGAGAAGGTTAAAGAGACATTTTGCCAATGGAACAAGACAATTTACATTTAAAATAAGAAAGCGCAATTATATTGTCTTAATTCAAGTGCATTTTATCTAAATATCTTATTCTAAGAGTAAAAATACTCATGCCATTAGCGAATCATTTCATTTACCTACTCAAATTAAGGGTAAATACACTTAATTTAAGAAATTTTTACTTATTTTTAGATCGTTTTTCCAGTGCAGGCCAGCCGAGAGACATAGTCCCTCCAGCGTATCTTTAGTCATCGCTTAGGACTCCTCACGGTGGGATGTGTCTAGAACATCTCCTGAAAGAAACATCCAGGGAACATCCAAAAAAAAGATATGTGAGCCACCTTCGCTGACTCCTTTTAATGTGGAGGAGAAGCTGCTCTCCTAGCCTCTCCTGAATGATCGAGCTCCTCACCCTATTTCTAAATGAGAGTCCAGCCACCCTGGGCTTATTTCAGCTGCTTATATCTAGGATGTTGCTTTTTCAGTCATGACTATAGGTGAAGGTAGGAATGTAGACCGACGGGTAAATTAAGAACTTTGCATTTTTACTCAGCTCCCTCTTTACCATGACAGACTGGTGCAGTTTCCACATTATAGCAGAAGCCGCATTGATCTGTCTATCGGTCTCCCAATCTATTCTCCCCTCATTCGTGAAGGGGACCCCAAGATACTTAAACTCCTTCATTTGTGGCAGGGAGCCTGACTTTTTCCTAGACACTTAGATTTAGACACTTTTTATTGTCATTTTGTATACACAAAATGAAATTCGTTTCTGTACAGCTTTTAAGACATTTCCATTTCTTAAAGTGCAGTAGTGATACAATGTAAACATGGTGATCAAATGTAACCAACCAAACCAAAACAGTTCAACCACAAAACCTAGATCGGAGGCAACCAGATGTTTGCTCAGTATTCCTAAAGACATTCTACATATAGTCAGGTGAATTAATTTAGCTTGCGCCAGAGCTTTGTGCACATTCCAAGTTTGATGCAAATCTTTCTTCTGGTTTGTCGAAGACTTTTTTGTAGATATGGATAATGTGTTTTAACCTGACTCCGCCAGATGGATTTGCGCCGCATATCCATCTGGAAACCTTCCGTTGAAGTAATTTTGGGAAGGGGTGAAAATACTGGTTAGCTGATAGGCCTATGTTGGTGATAGACGGGCCAAATAAACCAATCAGATCAACGAAGCATATGACGTACTAACAGACCGATGACGAAAACACAACCACAAGCTAGGCTACTCTTGCCGAAACCAGTCGGGAGAAGAGCAAAAACATCTTTTCCTCTGAGAAAAGCCTCCAGAGCAGTGTTTTGCTCTTCTTTCAGTGAAGAAATACTCTGTAATTCCGATAAAACTTGCTGGATAGCCACGCTAACGCTAGTTTCATCAGCTGAAGCCGCCATGTTCTTTAGACTGAACTGTCGCGCTTCTCGTTGCGTCACACCTCAACCCGCCTCAAAGCCAACGCTGATTGGATGTTCGTTTGGTGAACGGCTCCAAATTTTCTTTAACGGAGAGTCTCCAGACTGATCTGCGAGTGAAACCTTGAAAGCTCGCGAGATCAGGATGGTCTCACGAGGCTAAATGTGTTTGGCCATTTAAGTCATGATGAGTGTGCTTGTTTAATAAAACTCAAATGGCTACACAACAAAATACTTCAAGAACCCAGGAGAACGGCGGGTGGATCTTTGAATTGCATCTCACTTGCAGTGTGCTTAGGAGGTTGGACCTCTATGCTGCTTAAAGGTATACTATGCAACCGGTGTTGATTTTCCAGCGAGACTCCCCCCAGAGGGCAAAAGTAAAAGTGCACTGTCGTAAATATGCACAGCTGTTCTACTGGTTTCTCCGTCAAGCCAGGCGCGGTTGTTTTGAGCTTAGCAGACAGGCGAACGCAACGAATGACTAACACAGTGAAAGTATGAACATGCACACAGAGAGAGAGAAACCATTCCAATGTTACTTACAATCGCATCAGCAGAAACGCGAGGTCCGCGTCAGCCTTGCAGCCTTCTTTTTATTTTAGCTCTCGCCATTCGGAAAAAGCTTGCCCGATGTTCACCCGTGTACGACTCCTCTCTCTGTCCGGAGCCCTTTTCCTCTTTCTTGCCTGCTCCAACATGGGCTTTCACTGTTTTCACGCTGGTTCCGCCATGATAACTGCACAAAGATTGCCACTGTGCTAGCAACGAACATGCTTTTAACTGGGTGCGTGTAGCAGTTCTCGCCATAAAGCAAGACCGACTCTCTCGAGACTTCTGAGCCTGTGGGTGCGGGCCGAGGGCTCCTGCAATTGCAAGTGCGGTATTTCCCCCACAGACCACCAGGGCGGCCGAGAATACCTTTGTTCAACCTGAAATGACTCATTTAATCATCCAAAACGTTATGGAACACATTAATTAACTGAAAAATGTTGCATAGTGTGCCTTTAAAAACAACTATAGATTCCTCGTGTGGGAGCCAACAGAAATACCAAACACTTCTGGATAGCCGTTGGAACGTCTTCAGAAAAACGATGCGAGAGTCCAGTTGCCAGCAATTAAAGCCTGTTTTGTGGTTGCCAAGACCAGATGACTGAGAATTTGCACAGGCAACAAAATGAATTGAAGTCACTTCAAGTCTAATTCTGTTCAAGGAGTTAGGAAAAGCGAGTAAGCCATGGAGTACCTTTGTGCAAAGATCAGAACTGTCGACAAGGTGACACTAAACCCTGGAACCTTCAGAAATCCCTCCGCACTGATCTTATCAAGACGCAAAAACAGGACAAGCAGATGAAAAGTTTTCATCAGCATCAGACGTTTTTTTTTTTTGCCGTATTTGACAGACAGAAGAAAAATCTTCGCTTTTTATCTCAGACGCACAGACTCTGACTGATCCCAGCTCTCCTTTCTCTCTCTCTCATTCTCTCCCTGCTGCAGTTTAACTTTGTCGGCAAACTCCTCGGGCCACGTGGGAACTCGTTAAAGAGACTACAAGAGGACACCCTCACAAAGATGTCGATTCTTGGAAAAGGATCCATGAGAGACAAAGAAAAGGTAACCCTGAAGTGTGATATTTCATTTCTGCTTTGACTCTTTCACCTGTTCATTTCATTTCGTGCTCCGTTACCCAGTTTTCAGCGAGGTTTGAAGGTGATATGACTTAATGCTGTTACCTTGCTTTTCATTAAGAGTTTTTTTTTTTTTTTGCAAAGATACAACCTTTCCAGCACAGCTTTTTTTTTGCACATTGTATTTCTTTTCACCTTTGTCAAAATAGGTGGAATACCAAGTTACAAAATTCCAGAAGGTTGTTATTCGCCCTTTTCTAGTTTTTCTTTACAAAGAAAATATTTACTGCAGAGCAAGTTTTGAAAATGGTGACATCATGCAAATTGTTTCAAGAAAGAAAGAATAACTATGGGTCAGAGGTGGAAAGAGTACTAAAAAATTGTAATTGAGTAAAAGTATTTTTACTTTACCTAAATTCTACTCAGAGTAAAAGTAAAATTACCCATCTCAAAATTTACTCAAGTAAAAGTACAAAAAGACTTCATTTAAAATGTAATTTGAGAAAAAGTTACTTAGTTTCTTTGAGTTATTTAATGCAAAAAAAGGATGAGTAATGAATGGAATTGAGCACAAGGTGTTTTAATCGATTTCAAGGCGTATTTCAGTGGACATCCACACTTGTAAAAAATCAGCTGGGCTAAGGAACATACTTCCTCACAGCACAAGGACAGTCACAACCTGAACCATAAAGTGCAAACAATTTTCAATCCTACTGTCCAACAGACAACACCATGATAACTAACTTACCGCCACATTTTTTCGTAAATTGGATGTTGATGTTTTAAAAGCCGAAAGCTCCGTTTTGCTGGGCAGGCACATGTTGCACTGCATTATCACATTGTTCCCTTTTGTGCATTTGAAAACAAACAATCCTTCCGAATATGGCCGAGGGTTTTTCTGGCTTTCGTCTCCAGAATATGTTTCCTCTTCAGGCCTTTCCTCATTCATACTCCCTAAATTGTGATTAGCAACTGCCATCTTCTGAAGCACAGCACTGGATTATGAGACAATACAAAGGGTAATTGCAAGGCAGTTTTTTATTTTTTTACTCAGTAACGTGAGGGGGTTTTAAATGTAGCAAAGTAAAACTTCTTAGGTTAAAATTTACTCGAGTAAAAGTAAAAATTACATATTTCAAAAACTACTCAGAAAATTACAAATTACTCATAAAAAGTACTCAATTACAGTAACTTGAGTAAATGTAATTCATTACTTTCCACCCCTGCTATGGGTTTTGCAATTATTATTTATGGGAACCCATCCTTACCAAATTAATATTCAACCCCAAGATTTTAACATGGTGAAGTGTGTTAGCCTCGTGAGACCATCCTGATCTCGCGAGCTTTCAAGGTTTCACTCGCAGATCAGTCTGGATACTCTCCGTTGAAGAAAATTTGGAGCCGTTCACCAAACGAACGTCCAATCAGCGTTGGCTTTGAGGCGGGTTGAGGTGTGACGCAACGAGAAGCGCAACAGTTCAGTCTAAAGAACATGGCAGCTTCAGTCGATGAAACTAGCGTTAGCGTGGCTATCGACCAAGTTTTATCGGAATTACAGAGTATTTCTTGACTGAAAGAAGAGTAAAACACTGCTCTGGAGGCTTTTCTCAGAGGAAAATATGTTTTTGCTCTTCTCCCGACTGGTTTCGGCGAGAGTTTGATCTATCAATTGGCTCCTCTTCGTCGTCGCTCTGTTAGTACGTCATATGCTTCGTTGATCTGATTGGTTTATTTGGCCCGTCTATCACCAACATAGGCCAATCAGCTAACCAGTATTTTCGCCCCTTCCCAAAATTACTTCAACGGAAGGTTTCCAGATGGATATGCGGAGCAAATCCATCTGGCGGAGTCAGGTTAGAAGTGTGTACTCTAAAAGACCATGATTTAGTGTAACAGGACTGAAAGCTGTCAAGAGTAGGCTTATAGTGGCCTGTTATGTTCGGTTTAAAAAATTGTGACGGCCGAATTATAAAACTTAGCAAGCGAGCTAGCAATCATTGACAGCTGCCATCCATGTTTGAACCTCAGTTACAGAAAATATGTGCAGTTCAGAAATAAAACATAAAATTCTGATGTTTTTCTTTCGGTTTTTCTGAACTTTTCTGGGTTTGATTAGCTGTCTGTGCTGGAATGTTTCAAAGACCTTTGAAGAAACAACCACTACAGATAATAAGCACAGGAACCGCAGTTTACCGCTAATACAGATTAAAGCTACAGTGTGTAATTTTCAGCGACATCTAACATTCAGACTGCAGACCGCAGCAACATGAACATCTCCCCCCCAACAGTACGCGTAATGGGCGATCTCGCAATCGCTAGTTTGTTGGCTCTGCGCTGCCGTAGCGCAAAGATGTCTGCCTCCATGGCTGCGAGACCCGCTCCTATGTTATTATAAATAACGAATTCTAAGGCAACGCAAATATTAAGGTTAAGAGGCTGAGCTCGTAGATGATGATAAATAACATAGTTATGTATAATATATTACATTTCTGACTGTATATCCCTATAATTATTACACACTGTAGCTTTAACTAGGTTCATCACCTCTCAGTAATATGCATGATGCTCTCAATAAACGTTTCATTTCTGATAATATTGCAGCTTTTAGTATTGACTGATACCGACATTGTCCCGATACGATATCTTTTTTTTTTTTGTTCAATTTTTTTTTAATTGTTTTTCACATTTTTTACATTAGAGGAGGAACAGGTCCACCAACCACAAGTAGTCAAAATTTTGTAAAATGTTTACAAATTTGTGCCATCAATAGTAGAACATCCTTCCTCCCCACCAATGTCTACACTCCCCACCCCCTGCCCTCATTTCCACCCTCCCCACCCAATGAAGTCAAGGCATTAAAGAAATAGCAGCAATAATAATAAAAATGATAGTAAGAAATGAAAACAAAGGAAAAAAAGGTGGAAATAAAGTAAATAAAATCAATAAAATAACCCCCTTCCCCTACCATCTAGGAATCACATCCACTGAATAGACAGGCAACAATAATACATCACAAAGGAAACAAAAGAAATTTCACAGGGATAGCATGTCCGATACGATATCAGCACCATTGATTCATCCTTTTATTACTTATTTTGTAGTGTGGCACATTAAAAAAGTTAATAAAATGATATTTTTTTGGCTGATATTGGACTGATTTCCAATAACAACATTGAATCAGGAGATCCAAACTTGAAACCGTTAAATGTGTTAACCAGTCTCCTTGGTGTTTAAATGTAAGTTTGTAAAAAATAAATCAGTTCCAACTAAATTTGTGGTTAAAGGGTTAAATAAAATCTCTCTTTTTTTTTTATCTTTCATGTCGAGCATCAACATCTCAAATTTAAAGCAGGAAAACTTTCTTAAACCTCCTATAATCTCTCTTATCTTTAAAGTCTTGGCTGTTTTTCATTTTCTCTCAATTATAACATAAAAGAAAAAGATCTCAAAGTGTCTCTTCTTTTTATCCACTCCTCTCTGGTCACCTCATCCCTTCAGATTCCTCTTGATTGACCGCCCTCAGGATGCAGGGGCTGTGCCAGAGTTTGGGCAAAGCTGTAACAGCTTAAAAACAAATTTCAGAAGTTTATGGAGATGAGAAGGATCCTGGGGATCACCAAACACGCCTTACATCCTTCAAAGCCGGCGCTCCGTTGCATCGAGCAAACGCACACAACTACAACACATTACCTTGACTGATGTTTTTGGGTCTTTATGTGAATTTAAATTCCTTGTAATGATGTGAGCGTTACCACGGAGATTGTACATAGCTTGAAATTTCAAACACAAGCCAGTTTAGTGACTTCTATCATCTGCGATCATGTCAGCACATAAAGACAAGATATAAAGGGTGCTAACAGCTGCAAAATTGATTGCAATCCGGACGGCCTAACTGGGAATAAATCGACTTCTCTCTGCTCATTGCTGTCTCCCCTTCCTCCGTTTGTCAGGAGTGATTTGCTATCATACAGCACATTCGTTCTGATTAGTCTGATCAATAGTCTGATAGCGGGTCTCTCTGGAGAATCAGCAGAAGCGACGTGTCGAGGCGATACACGGGGCCCCTCCTGTCCAAGCTTTCTAACTGGCCTCCCTCAGCAATGTCCCTTCTTTTTTGGAAACAGAGTTTTGTTTTCTGCTGGTTTACTTACCTCCTGCTTTAAAGCCTGGCAGCGTTTGCCCTTGCAGGTTTGAGCATCTAACATTTCCAGATGAGGTTATGAAACTGGGCCAATGCGGTGCAAAAAGAAGGAGCCAATATGAGGCCGTTTGACAGAGCAGCAGTTTTAAGTGCTTTCTAAGTATTCATTCAATACAAATTCAGTTCAATCTGAAAAACACAGAAAAAGACAATTGGAAGAAATGTATCGATACAATTACTTGCTCTTTGGCGCTCAGACCTCGACAGGAAACATAGCGCTGAATTTTGATAGATATGCATGAACAGGAGTAAAGAACAGGGCTGTTTCCCCCCAGGTCTGAAACTGGTGGTGGAGTGGAGATAGATGAAGTTGGTCAGTCTGTAGACTGCTGGTTATTGAGACGGTCTGCTGAGCTTTATGGGGAGATCCAGTGGACTGCGTGAGCTGATACTAGAGCTTCACTCAGGGACCTGGAAGATGGAAGTCCAGTTTGGAAAAAACAGGCTGAGAAAACCTGTCCATGATGAGCAAGCATGGAGCAACAGTAGAGAGGAAAAACTCCCCATTGGGAAGAAACCTCTAGCAGAACCTGGCTCAACATAGCGATCTTCTGCCGGACCGGTTGAAATGAGACGAGGAATGCACTAAGAGTCCAGGAAGAATGACAGTCTGATAAAGTTTTAGCTACAATGGTGGATCCCTCACTCGGGATCTTGTTCACGAGTGAGGTAAGAAGGGAGAGGGAGATCGACAGGCGGATTGGCGCAGCGTCTGCCGTGAAGCGTGCGCTGTACCGGTCCGTCGTGGTGAAGAGAGAGCTGAGTCAAAAAGCGAAGCTCTCGAT